TATCTATCTATCTATCTATCTATCTATCTATCATCTATCTATCTATCTATCTATCTATCTATCTATCTATCTATCTATCAACCTTGAATCTCAATGAGATCACTGTAGCACTAACTACAAAGCTGACTGGAACTCTGACCTTTGGCTTTCCAGCTTCAGTAGGATAGTAGCCATGGGTGAGAATGTTGGAAGAAGTTTTAATAATCACATTCACAGTGTGTATTGCACAGCTATTGCCATCAAACTAGTTTATACATTAAGAGACAGAGTCACATGGAAAGTAAACCCTGCTCAGAGCCACTCAGTCAGATTTGATGGAGATGTGATTAATCTCGGAGAGTGAAAAGGCCTCAATTTCAATCTAAGTTAGAAAGTATCTTCCTGGGGAGATGCTTGAATGAGGAGAAGAGGGAATTCATGGTAAATTAAGAAGCAGGATCCTGATCATTTTTCTCAAGAAGAATGGACAGAAGCAAAGGCAGCCTCAGGGACCTGCTGAGATAGGATTTACTAGAGCTCAAACTGGGAGTTTAAAAAGCAATACGAAGTTATGAAGTAAATTTCCTATATGATGCAGTCTCCTTATATGCTAGTTCTGATGACAGTTTTTGTATCAGTATCTTCCTTAAAAATATAAGAAAATCGAGGCTCATGGTGATGTAAATATAGATGGAAGCTTGACTCCAGCTGGACCTGGGTGATTTTATAGTATAACCAATGACCCGACAACATTCCACACCCCTTTTACAATGAAAAACAAGAAGGGGAGCCACTGAACCACTTCTGCAAATCAGCCTCTGTTGGAATTCCTAGCCTTCTTTCCTCTGGATTTGTAAACAGAGGCTGTGGGTCTGTGGAAGCCAAAGTAAACAGTGGCAGATGCAAACAAGGCTTCCAGTGAGGAGAATGCTAATGGAGTTACTAGTGTGTATGAGTTGCCCCAGAGGACTCTTGTCTTCATGGTGGCTCACATACTTGGGCCTGGTGGTCTACAGCAGGCTTCAAAGTATCTTTGGGCCATCCAGTTTCTGCTTGGTGGCCTGTTAGCGGCAGGGTGTTGCAGTCTGGACAGCTAGCTGATAGTTTGTGTTCACTTCTTCTAGACTCATTACTGAGCCCTTTGAAAAGAGGTAAGAGTAAGAAAACATGTGTTCTGATTTGGAGCTAAGACATCAGTTATTTATTCATCTATGAAGCATTGGCTGAGTCCTGTGAACTGTTAATATTGGACTGTCAATCTGATTGTTATTGATAAATGCCCGGGGGATTAGTGAAGCTCTCTTCTAGGTGTGTTTGTACCATGGGAGATCTAGAGAGGGTTAGATCATGAGAGCACTGACCAAATGCATAGTTTAATTTTTTTCTAATACACCATTCAGAAGTCATGAAACTGTAAAAAGTGGAGTCTGGTTGGAAGAAGAGGTCACTGGGTGGGTGTTCTTGAGAATTCTATCTTGCTTAGGACACTTCCTGTTAATGTTCCATTCTGCTTTCATTCCACCAGAATGTGAGCTGCCCAGCATGCCCATCTCTCACCAATAAGATGAATTTAAGCCCCTGAAACCATGAGTCCATACAAAGTCCTTATGTTGTTTCTGTTAGGTGTTCGGTCACAATGATTAAAAAAAAAATCACTAACACAAGTTCTTTTAATACAATAGGCTCTGTGCTAAGCCACGGAATATAGCAGTGATTGAGACAGTCCCTGTCCTCAGAGAATTTATCCAGTTTAATCTGTGAAGACAGTGAGAAAAGACACATGAAAATAAAGACGATTTGGCCTACAACAGGGTCAAAAGGTTAGGACTGAGAAGTCCACAGAAGACTTTTCTGGTGTTGTAGAATGTAGTCTTCAGATCAACATATCTGCCATCTTCCTTGTGTCAACTGTGCCTGCTTGATATCCCCTCAAATGAGTAGGGGCTGGGACGCTCACTGTCCCCTCACTTGCGTATCCAGCCTTTATTCCCAGCAGCCATTTGTATGTAATTCTGCTCTATTTGCATTGCCTCATGGTCTCATGGAGGTGCTACAGTACATAGACTGGGGAAGGCAGAAGGGACCCTGGAGGAGCTGTCATCCATGTCAGACTCAGGGCCTCCAGTGGGGCTGCTTAAGGGTCACCGATGATGTTTCAGCCCATACCTCTTCATCTGTGACCTATAAGTAAGCCTAAAATCTTATTCATCCCCTAGTGTGAACTTTGGTGAAATTGTACTTTGGATTACTATTTGGACCTTATGAGGAGTTGTAGGTATTGTTTAGATCTCCCCAATTAAGGAATTCTCTCTCCAAAATGACAGGAATAAAAATGGGACAAAGCAAAGAGCAGCCCAGGTAGGTATCTGAGGCCAGGACCTCTTTGGTAAAGGGAAGAATGCCTTTAGGAGCTGTGAAAAGGGAGTGTACCCATGTGTGGTGGTTTGAATGGGTATGGGCCCCATAGACTCTTGTGTTTGCATACTTGGTGCCTAGAGAGTAGCATTATCAGACATCTGGCCTTGTTAGAGTAGGTGTGGCCTTGTTGGAGGAAATGTGTCACTGTGGAGGTGGGCTTTGAGGTTTCATAAGCTCAAGTCTCAACAGTGTGACACAGACTCCTTCTGCTGCCTGTGGGTCAAGATGTAGAACTCTGAGCTCCTTCTCCAGCACCATGTTCACCTGTACACCATCATGTCCCACTATCATGATAATGGACCGAACCTCTGAAACTATAAGCAACTCCTAATTAAATGTTTTCCTTTATAAGAGCTGCTGTGTGTAGCTTGATTTTTCCGGCCTCGCCCACAGTCAGGACAAACCTCTGTCACCCGCCAGTCCCACAGTCGCTCAGACCCAACCAAGTAAACACAGACACTTATATTGCTTTCAAACCGCATGGCCGTGGCAGGCTTCCTGCTAACTGTCCTTATCTTGCTAACTATGCTTTTATCTTAAATTGATCCATTTCCATACATCTATACCTTGCCATGTGGCTGGTGGCTTACTGGCGTCTTCACATGCTGCTGGTCATGGCGGCGGCTGCAGCCTCTCTGGTCATTGCGGCGGCTGCAGCGTCTCCCTCTGCCTTTCTGTCCTTTTATCCTGCCTAGCCACGGCCGATCAGGTTTTATTTATTAACCAATCAGAGCAACTTGACATACAGACCATCCCCCAGCACAGCCAAGTGCAGACCATCTCAAACACCTGCACTCAGGCCCATGGTCCTAATCATCCTCTATACGGACCTGCTGGGTAATGCCACAAAGAACCTGAGAATGGGCTCCCACAGGACCTACAGAACATCCCACAGCAGCTGTGGTCACGGTGTCTCTTCACAGCAATAGAAACTCTTATCAACACAACATGGATACCTAGAAAATGTGAGGAATCTGTACTTGGGAGATACCTGGGCACTGCAAATCTGCAAGCACATCGAGAAGTATGAGATTAATGGAAGACTGTACCTCAGTCCTCCCAGAAAGAGCTTAAACTTGAAGACATGATTTATTCCAAGTGACGGCAGAAATTGTAACAAGATGTCTCTGGATCATTATTAGGGACCAATTTCAGTCTTCTAGTAGGCATGTAAAATAATGAATGCCAAAGCATCATCTATGAATATAAAGGAAAATTACTAATTAATTCATTAGGTATCTTCTGTGAACTTCTTCTGTTCTGTAGGCATTCATGCAGGATTGATTTTTAAAATTTGATCCATTATCTAAATAACATTTATACATTTCAATTGATTGCTGTGTCTTAGACTTCTGTTATTCACAAATCCTCTGTTAGCTTGCTAGGATCACCAAAATAAGATAAAACAGGCTGGGTGGTTTGAATAACAGAAATTTGTTTCTTTCAATTGGGGACACTCAAAGCCAAGGTCAAAGTGTTGGCAGGATTGGTTTTTCTTGTGGTTTGTGTCCTTGGCTTGTGAGTCATGGTTTTCTCTCTGTGTCTTTCCTCTGCACCTACTTCCTAATCTCTTCTCATAGGACACCAGTCATGTTGTGTTAAGGCCCACACACATGGCCCCATTTAACTTAGTTTAACTCTTTTAAGGCACTGTCTCCAAATACAAGGCTTTCTCAGGCTAGAGGTTTAACACACCAATTTTGGCGGGACAAAATGGTCTCTTTCCCTCACAGTTTATTAAAATGAGCCATTTGCTTTGCACTGGATTGTTCTGCAGTTTTCCTTCTTCTTCCCTGGGGTTTCCCATATTTTCTGCAATTGGTGCTTAGATACTTGTTGGGTTCTGATTTGATTTTTTTTCTTTTTCATGCTAGAATGCTGCATTAGGGCATGATGTGTATTACTACCAGACATGAATGATGTCTGGTCTCTTCCTGAGATGTAAAAAAAAAAAAACTTGAAAACAAGAAATTCAGATAGATGAGAGCTATGGAATACCTAGAAGAGGCTGGAGGTCACTATACTATGGACGGCTTTGAGACATGCCTGAAGGCTTTCTTGTGCCTTCCCAATCAATCCAAGATTCAATTACATCCAATGTCATTTTAGCAACCACGGTTTTACAGAATATTTACTTGGCAAATATGATTAAATTTGCATATGAGTTGAGGTTTTTGCTGAGAACAATACCCCCGCCCCCTACAACCTACTATGCAGAGGTCATTCATTTTTATCAAGTGACTGTGAGATGGATTGGGCATGTTCCCATTCACTCAAGCCAGATCTCTGTCCTGCCCCTGCCACATTCTAGAATGTTGCTCTATTCAACTTGCTTAAAATTCTCAAATGATGAAAGGCACACTGAATTGTTATCTACAACACTGACTTCAGGTGCTGCCCTCCCAGGTAACTTCCTCACATCCTTCTTCCTTCTCTAACAGTTCCTTTCTAGGAAGTTCCTCTTCTCCGATGCCTTCTTCCTCCAGCCTGCTTTTTGCTAACCCTTTTCTAGTTACTTGTGCATGTCTTCCCAAGTGGGTGGTGCTTCTTCAAGCCCTGGACTATGCCCTCAAAACTGTTGTCATAACAGCTGCCTCTTCTTTAGGAGATGCTCAGTGAATACTTGAATGACTAAAGGGTTGCTCCTGAGTAGCATTCAGAATCCAGCTGCAAATTTGAACTACCACAGAGCTTGTAATTTTAGCTCTGTTAAGGCACAAAGCACTAAGTTCCATCCCAGGCATCACATAAACCAGATATGGTAGCTTATGTCTTAGCATGCAGAAAGTACAGGCATAAGAATTTAGAAGTTCGCTGGGCAGTGGTGGTGCACGCCTTCAATTCCAGCACTTGGGAGGCAGAGGCAGGCGGATCTCTGTGAGTTCGAGGCCAGGCTGGGCTACAGAGTGAGTTCTAGGAAAGGCGCCAAAGCTACATAGAGAAACCCTGTCTCGAAAAACCAAAAATAATAATAATAAATAAAATAAAATTAGAAGTTCAAGGTCATCCTCAGCTACAGAACAAGTTTGAGATCAGCCTGGGTTATCTGAGACCCTATGTCCCCCCCCCCCAATAATGACTGATACCCCAGGACTCAACTCCAAGCACTTTGGGAACAGACTTTGAAGAGTGTTCTTGGTGACTGTAATGATCAGTCAGAATTAAAATCCTCTCAACTGTAGTGTAAGGTAGTAGTCTCAGTTATGGGTCTCAGGTTAGCAGCAGTATGGGTGTCTACCTGGAAATTTGATAGAAATGGACATTTTTGAAAATTCCTCAGGGTTCAGCTATTTGTCTTTAGTTCATCCTCCATGTGACTTTGATGCAGCCAAAGATGGAGGGTCTGGCTTAAGCCAGGGGTCAACAGGTACTGTTAGACAAAAAGCAATTCAATTATTTTAAATCTTACTGTACCATTGTTCCAGCCATTCAGCATTGCTAGTGTTCCAGCAGCTATAGACATTACAGAAATGTCTGTTTCATGTTCTAATAAAATTGTATTTATAAGTAATCAGGAAGTAGGCTGAGTCCTTAGCTTGTGAATCTCTGTTCTTAAGAATTAGAACTGTTAGCTGTTGCTATGTAATCAATCACCACATGAGTGGGATTAAACCAGAATTACATCTGTGGCTGACCAATATGATCCAAGTTTGTCTGAAGAAAAGGGATGGGGAAATAGGTACCACATCTAGGTACAACTGCATTGTCATAGGCATGTGGCAAAGAAAAAGCACAGGGCAAAAAGAGATGAAGAATGAGGATACTAATCCATTCCATGAGGGTTGAAGTGACATAAAGCTCATAGGGGACTGGGTATGTGGCTGTTGCCTTGTAAATACCAATTATTGCTACTGAATTATGATTACTAATCATTCTTTTGTTTGTCTTTACAAGTCATGGCTGGATATTAGAAGCAACTGTTTATTATTTTTGGAAGGCTGTTACTGATGTCCTCAGAGATGGGTGTCACTTACCATTAGCACTTGTGACAACAGGTATAGGGAGTCAATGGTGTTAGCAGCCTGTCTTGGTGATAGAACAGTTTGTTCTTGGTGCTGTGGGCTGTTTGTTCAGAGGAAGCCTCAGGACAGGTTTGCTATGACATGATCACTTGCTTTTTCTAAGCAGGTAAATCATTCCTGACAGCCTGCACTGGATATGTATGGAGAACTCCAACCCTTATTTGAAAGAAGATGACCTGCTTGACTGGAGCTCAGATGACATCCTCAGTTAATGAGAGTATAACTGTGACACCTTTGACCTGAATCAGATGAAGGAAGATGGAGCAGATTGGTCCTTAGAGATTTGTTTTCATAGGCAGTGGTTAACTTGCAAGGACCATTCTGGGTTTAGTTTATCTTTCAACCTCTATCCTTCTCTGGTGATTCCAGAATGCTTTCTAGGGACCACTTATATCAGAATTATCTGGGGAATTAGTAACACACACACACACACACACACACACACACACACACACACACACACACTTCCATGCCTGATGCTCACAGATCCTGGTTTGTGAGGATGATGTGTGACTCCCTTGTTTTAAAAGCTTTTTGATACCTGTGATAAACAGTGCTATGTAGGTGACATTCATCTATTGTTTGTACATTCAGACATACAATTACATGATCATTCAGCAATTGGAGTTCATGGAATGCTGACCAAAACTGGAGAGTTCTGAGTCCTCAGCTCTTAAAAGGGCCAGGGCCAGGACTTATCCTCATGTCTTTGGCAAGGTATCTTGGAGCATGTGAAGCCCTTTGTTTTATGGGACCAGAGATGGGACCCAGGAAAGCTGAATGATTCACTTGTGGCTATGCTGTTAATACAGTGCATGGTCACTTGTGTCCTTACTCTGCCCCTATGCTCTTCAGTATCTAGCCTTCCCAAGCTGCTTCTTGGGAAAGGATCCCATGTGTAAAGTATATCTGATGTGTAAGACTATGTGCTGAGTGATTTAATCATGTGATTGCCGTTTACTCTTTATTGAATATGACTTGTTAAATTGACATTATCTACTATGCTTTATAGTAAATGTGCAGAAAAGTCCCATGACTCTTGAGGGTAGAAGGAAATTCCAAACAAGGTTTCTTTTGTGGACATTGCAATTCAAAGGGCAAGAAAGAAACTCTTGGGGTGCTGACAACGCTGTAAGGAGGGGTCCTTGGGAGAGGAAATCAGTGTGTAAACAACCACCATTGCACACACTGAGGGTTCCTGTACTCACTGTCGCAGGTTGCTCTTCAGTGACATAGTGGGAATCCAGTCTTGGTGGAACTGGGCAGCAAACCCACATTTACTGAATGGACCTTGCTGCATTTCCCAGTGAGCCCTTCGGTCCCTATGAAGCCATCCTTGGCAAATCTCCATGTGAACTTGTACAGAATGTAAACAGAAGGTGTAAGCTAGATACCAGGACTTTTGATCTTCAAATGTTACTGTTTTCCAACTTCATGTGGGAAGGTACCCGCAGACACCTGGGTGTGACTACTTCTGGGATAACAAATCATAGAAGCTCATTTTCATAAGATAAAGAAGCTTTTGTTATTGTTGATACCTGCTTAAACACATAAATTCTTAAAAGCTTTAGCCATGTGTAATTGGCATGTAATAAACTGCATATATTTGAAGCATATAGTTTGATAAGTTTTGACATGTGGATACATCCATGTAATTAGGATTATGATTATATCTCTCTTTCTCAAATGTCTTTTCATAATCCCTTTCTCTGGTTCTTCCTTAACTACCTTTTGTTTCAAGGCATTTATAATTTGCTTTCTTTTTTCATTTTTACTACATGTATTTATTTTCATGTATCATTTATTGATTTTTTATTACTTGATGATATTCCATTTCTTAGATGCTCATGATTTGTGTATCTGCTCACTCATTGGTAGTTATTTTATTAGATTCAATAGATATAAAATTCTGTCTAACTTTTATTACTGAAATAAATAGAAAATAAAAATTACCATATTTTTCATATTTATTCTACAGTAGCATATATAAAGATAAAGACAACTGATATAGAAAATAACTACTTCAACTTTTATCATTTCATAATTATGACTAGACAAACTGAATGAAAACTAATTTTCCAAAGTAAACATTATAGTCATATTTTTAGACATAATTTGTAATTAGACACATCAGCTTGCTTCCTACTTATTAACTTATCTTCTATTTTAATAATGATCCAGTAGAGAAACAAACCTCACAGAACTGTGTTGATAAAATAGTAGAAAAGATTTTAAAACTGTTACAGCAATTTCAGGATTCTGTCTTATTATTGACTTTTATCTATAATTAAGCAAACAGTACCACATGTTGAGAATTTATTTTATCAGAGTTCTATTCCAATGATTTACTTTGTAGAATTATTTTTAAATAGAAATTATTTTTAATGAAAGACATACATTCTACACTTCACACTTTTGGTTTAAAGTTGGAAAACTGATCTTAGGTTATGCTGTTATAACATATCTGAAATGCACAGCCAGCAGGAGTCTCTGGGTCTGTGTAGTGGGAACCCATGCCTGGCTCACTGTGTGTACACATGTTTATTGGACACATGGTCACATTCTTCTTAGGAAAACACAGAGAACAATTGGATCACCTGGGAGAAACAGATATTCCCCTTAAGAATCTGGGATACCATTTGCTACTGTGGGCACACTTGTATTTCCCAGACTTCCAGTTCTTTCATGGCTACATCAGCGCTTGGCTTGGCATCACCAGTCTTTTTCATTCTGGCTGATCTAGGCGATAGGTAATCCAGCTGTGGCAGTTTTGTCTGTCCTAGATCTCTACTGTCTGAGTCTGATTCTGTGAGCTCCATCCATGTTGTTCTACCTGGATTCCAGGATTCATCTTCCAAGAGAGCCTGAGTACTGTGCTCTGAGTAGATGCTTGCAGGCTCCTTTAGGCAGGAAGCTGAGGTAGTCTGAGTTCACCAGAACTAAAAGCCAGGCAGGTCCTTTGCCTCATCGATAAGTGTTTTTACTACCTAAACTCTTTGATAGGTATCACTATCCAATGTATTTTTATTTTGTGATGTGTTTCTTAATCCATTGCTTCATATTTTTGCTCATTGTCTTTCCAGCAGGATGGCAAATGGCATCCCTTTTAATTTGTCCAGAGTAGAGATTACTTTTGCTTCCAGTGCTTTTCATTCTCTCTGGTCTTATGTAGGAGAAAGTCCAGTTTCTCTTCCACATGAAAACATCAGTGACTCCCAATGGTTCAAAGTACCTGTGTGTAGTGAGTGTTCAGAGCTTCACACAAAAGCATTGGTACTTTAAGGATGAGCCTTACACTTCTGTCCGTGTACAGTCATTGCTCCCTGCCTGGGTCATAGAAAACAAAGCAAGACAAAAACAAAGGAAACAAAACTAGGAAGTAGTTTATGAGTCTAATGGTTGACACTGATGGTTCAGTGAATGTGGATTGGGTACCGCTTCTTGACAAATGCTTTCTCTATAGAGCAGGAAGAATCAAAATATGAGCCATGGATGCCACGTTTCATTAGACTCATATTGTTCTGGGGACCAAAATCTATGAGCAAGTCATTAACATGTATTTACATATAAGGATCTGACTATATGGCAAGTTAGTTTCACATCAATGGAATAAGAGCTGCATAGCCTGCTCAGTGTAGACCTTTGGGGACTCTAACTACTGTTATCTGCATATATATCATCTGTGACTTATGGCCCCTATGATCACCACGATAACCATGTCTGTGTTCTGGAAGAGAAAGGAACATGCAGAAGACCACCCAAGGGATGTTTTCTGTTTATTTATTTTTATTGTATGTGTATGGGTGTTTTGCATGCATGTGTACCTGTGCACCATGTGCACACAGTGCCTTTGGGAAGCAGACGAGGATATCAGATTTCCTGGAACTGGAGTCACAGATGGTTGTGAGCTACAATATGGGTGCTGAGAATTGAACTCCAGTCCTCTAGAAGACCAATGAGTGCTCTTAACCACTAAGTCAGTAGTTCTCAACCTTTCCAATGCTGTGACCCTTTAATACAGTTCCTTATGTTGTGATGACCCCAACCATAAAATTATTTTGTTGCTTCTTCATAACTATAATTTTGCTACTGTTATGAGTTGTAATATAAATATCTGAGATGCAGAATATCTGATATGTGACCCCCAAAGGGTTCACAACTCACAGGTTGAGAACCATTACACTGAGTCCCTGTCTTTCTCTCTCTTGCTCCCCCAAAGGATATTTTAATATCCAGACCAAGGAGTGATGCCCATCATTTCTGTTCAGTTTCCAATGACTGGAGCCTGGCTACCTGTCTACATCCTACTGAAAGGAACTTTGGGAAATGTAATCAACATGTGTATTCAAGAAGGAAAGAAACAGGATGACTATAAATGGTATGGAGTTCATGGATTCGTCTAATATTAGATTATGATTTTTCTTAAGAAATTTTTTAAGGTGACTCTTAAACAATACTTAATGGAGAGAGGTGGGGCAGAAGCTGTCATGTACAATTGATGTTGGCCTATAGCCTTTGTACAATCACAGGCAGGAGGATGGAGTAAGTAGAGTATAAAGTGGTGTCCAGCTGGGCTACGGATAGGCATGTGTGGGCACATCTGCTTCCTACCTTTTATAATGGTCTGTAATTAGCAGGTTGCCACAAAGGAACAGAAGGCCCCTTAGTGAGGTGGTTTTAAGCCACAACAGGAAATAGAAACAACAAGAGCAGACTGTAGAAAGACAGTAGTCTGTAAATCAATAATGCCCTTTAGTATGACACAGGAGCAGCAGCTACTTTGTTACTCTAAATCCTGACTTTAGGTCTCTGTTAGGTCCTGTTTAATTGATTATATTATTAGGACTTTGTATAGGACTTTGTAGTTAGATCCAGCCTTGAGGTGGAACTCTATAGCCACTAAGCTCATTCAATTAGTTTGCTTAACTTCTCTGTATCTTGACATCCTGTCTCTGACATCCCTGTCCCTAACAACACAGTTCTCTGAGACTTTTGATTCACCTTCTCTTTATCCTTCATAGAAAACTTGTCCCCATCCATTCACATCCAGCTCTGATTCTCTCTTGTGTACTCCAAAATCAACAAGCATTGGGGTATCCCATTGCTGTGGGATGTCTTTCTGTATGCTATAAATATATGTTGTTCCCATTGGTTAATAAATAAGCTGCTTTGGCCTATGGCAAGACAGCTTAGAGGCAGGTGAGAAATCCAAGCAGAAAGACAGGAAAGAGACAGGTGGAAAGAGGAGATGCCAGCCTGCTGCCCAAGGAGCAGCAAGATGCCAGTAGACCGGTAATGCCATGGCAACATGGCAACATATAGATTAATAGAAATGGTTTAATTTAAGATGAAAAAGCTAACTAGCAAGAAGCCTGAGATATAAGCCATATAGTTTGTAATTAATATAAGTCTCTGTGTGTTTACTTGGGACTGAGCAGCTACAAGACCCGGAGGGATACAGGAAAACTTCCGACTATATACCATGGCAATTCTTAACATTTTATATGACAGCTACTTGTGTATTTGTTTATATTCATATTGTTCTCAACTATATTGTAACCCTATCACTTTGAGAAAGTGAAAGAAAGTTTAATTTTGTAATCTGTTAGACCTTTTATGCATGAAACTCTTCAGTGTTAGCTTGTCATTCTTAGAGTAGTGTCCAAGCATGTTGCCGGAGTCTCACAGAGCTGAACACTATTTGCTGTTCTTTTTTTTTTTTTTTTGGCTTGGCTTGGCTGTAGGATTTTCATTCATTTTATCCAGTGTGCCAATTCCTTCCTTTTCCTGCTGTTTACACATCCATCTCCTTCCTGCCATTCTAGTCTCAATGCATTGTCACTTCCTCAGACAAGCCATCTCAAATGCCTAAAGCTATCAACACGTTCTTTTCTTTTCTTCAATTTTTGATGCTTTGAAAAATTCCCACCTATAGCTCAGCATATGCTGGGATTAAACCCTCATTACAGCTTTGTAAATATGCTTATTGCATGCATGCAATATACCAAGAATTAAGAGCACGGGTCACAGTGTTCACATGATTTTTATCATCTTCACTTATCTGCTAACTTATTTATTGCCCATCTCTTTCACTTGAATCAAAGTTCATCATAGGAGAGAATTTATTTGAATTATGGTAATAATAGTAGATGCTCAGTGTACATTAATATAAGTACAAAAGTACTAAATGTTTGGTCTTCCTATGCTCCTTTACATTGGGATCCCAGGCACAGATGAGTGTCTTGGGGGTTGAATGGCTGAGTGGATGCCAGTCTTCTCAGTTGAAAAGTAGAATACTGAATTCCATTTATGTAATATAAATTGCCTTTTGAATATGCAAATGAACAAATAGTAAAACTGGAGAGATGACTCAACATTTGAGTGTACACTTACTTCTCTTTCATGGGATCTGAGTTTAGTTTCCAGAACCCATGTTGGGTGCCTCATAACCACATGTAACTCCATCTTTAGGTGACCCAAAGCTCTCTTCTGGCTTCTGAGGTCACCTGAACACGTGTGCCATACATTCACATAGACATATATATCCACAAATAAAAATAAAGTTTTTAAATGAACAAATAAGAATTATATCAACAAAATTCTATAGGAAAGGCATGGGAGTGGCATCCAGGCAAGAGATGAGTCCTTTGGTGTGGTGAAAATGAATTCTTCCTTGGCTGTTAGTCTACAGGAAAAATTTTCAGAAAAAAAAAACCTAGTAAATGGTCAAAACCAGTGTGCCAGCTGGATTATGTGATTAGCTATTAATGTGAGGAAAAGGATGGCCATCAGTGCATTGGAGCTGACTCATACTAATTCATATGACCAAGGATGCTGGTGTCCTCCACGTTCCTCATGTAGGGGGTTTGAAATAGAATTAAGAGAGTGTACTTTTATCAAGGAGGTTGGCAGTGCATTAAATCAGACTTTAAAAACCAGGGGTTTAAAACCTTCTTTTTAAAAGTTTTGGGGAATAATTTTACAAATACACAATTGCAAATCTTAGTTGGTTTTTGACTCTCAGCCATAGGAATAGATGGTTGGGCAGGATGAAGACTCAGGATTTCCATGTACTTTGGTGCCTGGCAACTGTCAACTATAGTGCTTTATGCATACGTGTACATGTGCACTCATTCATTGACTACCTCAGTGTCATTGTGGCATTTAGTTCAAGAGAATGCTTAGCTGTCATCCTGACACAGCCATAAGAATGTTATCTACACAGAGAGCCTGGGCAACACTTTGCTAGAACTGTGAAGAAAGGAAGTTCAGAGATTCTTAGAAACATCTTTGTCCTTCTAGGTCCATGATAAGTATTTCCATTTTGGATGTAGAATATAGAAGTTAAACATATTTTATCCTGTGATCAAGACAGACTGTCAAAGACAAAACCTGTTGCACGAATCCTAAATGGTCTTATAATAAAAAACAGTTTAAATAATATAAGTGTCTGTGTGTTTATTTGGGTCTGAGTGGCTACGGGCCTGAGTGGGACTGGGGATAACTCCAGAAACAACATGAAAACTCACTGCATGAAAATAAAGGTTAGGATCCACTGGTGCTGCTTGCAGAACAGTTAGAGGCAAAGTGATATGAGGTATGGCTGAGACTCCTACAGAGGAGATGAAAAAGATCTTGTGTGAGTTTGGAAACTATATATATATATACATATATATATATATATATATATGTATGTATATGTATATGTATATATATGTATATGTATATGTATGACAATACCTCTTTACAGCTCTAGCTCTAATGTCATTGTATGGTTGTCATTATATTCCTGCTGAAAACCACTTCAAAATAAATCAAGGGTAGTATCACAGCACAGCATCTGTGTGTGTCCATTCTTACAGAATCTGTGGTCATGGATTTGTAACAAGCCAAGAAAGGATGTCTTGTCTCTGCTGCATGATGCTGGGGGCCTCAGAGCAGAGCAGTTCAATGGCTAGACATAACTGAAAGAGGAGCTAGGATGACTTGAGAGCTGGCTTGCTCAAGATTGTTCACCAAGTGCCTACAAATAGTCATTAGGGCATGGGTACCTTTTGAGCATTATAGCTTCCATGAGCTCACATTTCCAACCTGGCTGCTCAAGGGTTTTTGTTTTGTTTTATTTGTTTTTTGCCATGCTGAGAACTAAACTTAGGGCCTCATGTATTCTAGAAACAAAAAACCTCTACTACTGGGCTATATTGCCTGTTCTTTCTTGAGATTTTTAAGAGGAAATGTTCCAGCAAGCATAATAGGGGACCATGGTGTTTTATTATGCAGATTCAAAAGTCACATCATTTCATTTATGTTGATTTAAATTGTACTTTATTGAAGCCATCATGGTTTGGTCATGTTCAAACTCAGGGAACACAGACTCTGTTGCTCAATGGGAAGAACATTTAAAAGCTGACAGCCATACTTCAAAATGATCAGAGAGCTTACAAATGTTTCTTAAAATAGTAAGAACATAAAATAAAGTATGGAGAAGAAACAATAAAAATAAAAATAATGATCATTATAGATATCATCGTAGGGTGTAGGTATGGTAGTGACTTATGTATGTTTTACAAAATTTAAGTCACTCAATTGTTATAATACCCTGGAGCGGCAGTGCTATTATTATACCTACTCTGTAGGGCTCAGAGAAGAGAAGCATGGACAGGTGAAATGACTTTCCAAGGTATGTGCTGCTAGTGATTGACACAGAAGGAATAGTAACAACTAATAGATGTTGAATATTCACCAAGTGGCTGGCATATAGTGAACCCACATGGTGAAATATACTGGGTTCTGCCAGGCACCTTTTATGAATTGTCTTAGTTCTCCAAATAACCTTGCAGTGTATACACAGTACATATACTGTCTTGTACCTGTGGAAACCAAGGTTCAATGAAATTACCTGCTCAAAGTCAGGACATTAGAAAAAGTTTAATTTCATATTTGCCTTCTCAGAAATCTGGGGCCTGGAATGTATTCATGTGAGACAGGAAGAGTGATGGGTTAGGGGAGAATGTTTCTATGAATCTTGGTAGAGTGGGATTTGGACAAGGTTCAGTGCCTCTGTGGGAACAAAGAAAGAAAATATTTTGAGATGTGAGGATAATGATTATGTATTTGTGAGCGGTGTGTGTGTGTGTGTGTGTGTGTGTGTGTGTGTGTGTGTGTGTGTGTGTGTGAATAAAGCTCAAGCTCATCTTAGTTCAGAAAGCATCTATGATGCTCACATTCAGATCTTATCTCTGTGCCAGTTCCCTGGTGAGATCAGGAGAGGTCTACCCAGGGAAGCATTAACTTGCAGCTGAGCATAACCTTCCCAGCACTCCGCAAGACAGCACTTCCAATTTACTGTCCAAGGAACTCCTAGAATGCTATTAGTATTTCTCTCATACAAAGAACCAGAAGCCTGGGGGATGCAAAAGGAACAACAGTTAGATGGCTACTCAATACGGAGATTAGAGTTCAGGCAAGAGAAATTTGGCCAGACCAGACCAATTCATAGAAGTGAGATGACTGGTTTAGGTTGGCACCGACAGAAGAAGAGTGTGAAAACCTGAGGTTCTCAGTGACATTCACATGCCTTTGCATCCATCTCCCCTATCATTCAAAATATATACAGATTGATACCTCCTTCTAAAAGCCTTCCAGTTATCTCCAAATCCAGAATGATAGGTATTCTGTCACTCCAAAGTTTTCTGCAAGCTCTTGTTGCTCCAACTATACTCTTCCAATAAATTTCTCTTTCTTACCAGGCAGTGAAGACAGGGACAATATTTTGTCAAGTTATCTCAACATCATGTTTGGTGTTCAGGAACAGCAGGCTCCTTACAAGTGCTGGTAAATGAGATTTGATGATTTCATGAATGAGCACACTATGTCAAAGAGAATTGGGAGAAAGAGAGGGACAGGAGTCAGAGTCAAAGAGGCAGAGAGGAGAGCAAGGGCATTCTTGATAGAGGCCAGAGCAAGAGCAAAAACAGAGGACTGGGAGGGCTTCTTAAAGAGAAAGATCTTCTAGGAGGAGTCTTGGCCCCAGCAGTGGCATCTTAGGGAGAAATTTGTAGTAACATTTGGAGATGGAAGCAGAAATGACTACATAGCCCCTTTGTGCCCTGGAGTTTTCAGATGTCCTGGACTCCGCTCTGCTCACATCTGTTCATCATGGCTTCCTCTTTGAGCCGAAAGTCACCATGCTGATTCATCCATCAGTCACTGGCAGTCTGGATTCCCCTTTGCCGTTCTGTTCTAGAAGCCTTCAGCTGTCATTTGATGCTTATTAAGAAGAGTGAGTCAGGATAGGTTTAAGGCACAGTTTCCACCCTGGTCCATGCTCCCTTCCTTTTTTTGACTTGCTGAACTATTCTGAGCCTGCACACTCAAGGCTTTGTAGAAAGTAGGAAGAACTTGGGCTCTGAGGCACCAGAGTTTTAGGGAAATTTCACCTCCTCAGTTTACTTACTATGTGATCTTGAACAGGTTTATCTGCTTTGTTGTAGGATTGTCATTAGGTTTGACTGTTTAAATACTAGGGCTTATGCAGGATTTGGGGTGCACTCAGCATGTAAAAAGTACTCACAGTTCCTTTGGATAGAGGATCATATGCTAGATTTTCACTCTTCAGCATGTAGACAACAGGGTCATCTTAGTGTATATTTCCAGTGGAATTCTGGGAACTGTTTCCTCCTTCCTTTTTGGTTGACTGCTGTGGGTCATCCCCGGGATGAGACTCTTTTGTGTGGCCCTTTGGGATGAGAGGAAGGGAGAAGCCAATTAAACAAGGCCAACAGCTCTGGAAAGGGTAACATGTCTGAGCCACTAGGGTAGCTGCAGACTTGCGACTGGCAGAGTCCATGAACTGGTTTGTGCTTTGTGATCCCACAGCTCTGTCCATGGTGGTCTTCATCGCTTTCATCAACTGTTTGGTCACACAAGCCAGCACTAGAGCATGCTGCTGGGCATAGCTTGGCTTGGGTGGGCTCCTAAGCTCTGCTAGATGGCTCATCCCTACATTAGCCCCTAGACTATTGCAAGACAGACTGCCCATCCCATTCCTCTCAACAATTTGATCTCTTTAGTATTGGTGAAATTATTAAGGCCTTTCCACATAGTTAAAAGGGAGGTTTATTTTGTGGAGTAACTTACAAGTGAAAGGATAGGTAACAGGGTCTGGGAAAGGTGTGGCGCAGTCCGGCGGTGTTCTCTGGAGAACTCTGCTCGGTCTATCTCCAGCGTCCAGGGTCCAGGAACTAAGAGAGTCTGCACATCTGGATCTCGGGTCTTCAGTGTGCTCTCTCAGCCCCGCCTTGTAGGCGTGACCATTACTGAAGCCTCAATGAAGGTTGGAACTTCCAGGTCAAAGCTGGAATGGCTACCCACTACACTTTAGAGGCAAAGAAGTACCAGCACTTACTTGCTGCCTGCACATCCTTCCTGCTCTGAACCTGACATGCAGAGTCAGTGCTCTCTTTCACCTATGACCTCTGTTGACAGGAGGTGAAACCATCCTTTGCCATACTCCATCTGTTCCAGGTCCTCTTTCAACCTTGATGTCCCTGTTCTTCACAGTTAATGAGCATATAAATCCCATCCTTCTCAGTCAGCATAAAGAACAGCTCCTACCTCCCCCCCCCCCGCCCCCATAGCTCCAATGGAAGCAGCTAAGAAACTGAGAGTCATAAAACACACATTCCCAGCTATACGACTCACCAGTTTTATACGAACAAATCGCTTAACCTCTCTGAGCCACAACTGTTCATATTTGAAAGGGTGGGGATCATGCTAATTGCCCTGTTCCCCCCTCCACCCCATTTACTGTGAGAATCAAATGAGATAATGTCTGTGGAAGTGCTCTGTAAACCCAAAGCTGTTATTACACTATGATGGCCTATTATTATTAAAAACTGGTTTTCCCCGATTCCTCCAACTCTCTCTCCCTCTCCATCTCTGAGTTGACTGGAGACTGAGACTCATCGGAAGTATAGCGTTGAGGCTGAAAGCTAGAAAGGGTTCTGCTTTGCTTACCCAGGAAGTTTAAGTTCTCTGATTTAAACCAGTGGAAGTCAAAGGGAGATGACATCTGACACCGGAACTGTTCTGGGTTTGAAAGTTGAGAATCCTGGTGCTAACAGCTTTAGTGAGGTGGTGAATATAGCACAGAAGCCAGTGAGTAAGTCTTGCTCAGGTGGGTGCTCTTAGGGAGATCTTAGGATGCTCTTAGGATGCGCCCCAGATGTGCTGCTCTGGTCTTTGATTTATTGTCATTTTCTTTTGGGGGGGTGTTATCAACACCTTCCAGGAGAAAATGACAATTGAGAAATGCCAGTCTCTTCATTCACATCCCCTACCATCTACCATCTTAAGCACCACACCATGGTCTCCATTTCCCCCAAGGCTGATCAGGTGGACGTCTTGCTGTTGAGCCTTCTGGCCTTTCATCCATGGCCTCTCTTAGTTTCTCATATCTAAACCATCAACAATTTTATGTTTATACATTTTTTTTAAATGTCACCTTCTTTCTTCTAGCATGGCTCAGCTTGGTCACCAACCACAGATGAAGATGAGCTGAACCCCTTTGACAAAGTGAGGTACCCTTCACTGTGTTTCTATAGGAGCTTGCTTTTCCTCTTAGGAGTCACCCCACCCTTGATGACTCTCATGCCTCAGGTTCTGTCTTCTCTCAGGAGCTGGCAATTCCCTAAGACTGGCCTCACCTTGCAGCTCTGTTCCTCACTCCTTAAAGTCACAGCATCCAGCCCAGGGTGCAGCAACAAAACCAGGCAGAGTAGATGAGCTAATAATGTTTAGGACTTGGTCTCTAAAAGTGGAGACTCTCAGAGATCTTAATGAACAAACACAGATGGGCAGCATGAACAAAGCATACAGCTCTTAAATTTTCTCTTAGATCTTTACACATGCCAATCAGCTAAAGTTGCTTAGGGTTTATGGAGCGCTTCTTCTACACTGATCATCTTCTGTGACTCAGAAACTTCAAACTTCCCTGCCATACTCAGAAGTAAATATGGTTATCATCCTTCTGGGAGTCGTGAGACACTGTGGCCCAGGGACTTTGAGTCATTTGCCCAAGGTCATCCACCCGGCAAATGAAGGATTGCTCTTGAGTCAAATCTGTTTTCTGCAGAAATCCAAATTCACTGGGCTAGAGTGGATGATCTCTAGTCTGAATTCTTGAGCTCACCAGCTGCGTTTAGTTTAAATACATTATGAATTGGTTTTCTTCTTTTGCTTCCTTCTTAATGGTTGACTGAGAATTAAGAAATAAGATACAGATGGGCTTTAGATTGTGTGTATGGGCACCGACAGGAGTGTATGCCTGTGTGCATGTGTGCACACGTGTTGTGTGTGTGTGTGTGTGTGTGTGTGTGTGTGTGTATGTGTGTGTGTGTGTGTGTGTGTGTGTGTGTAGGCAAGAGGTTGACATCTGGTGCCTTTTGCAGTAGCTTCACACCTTATGTTGTTCTGTGACAAGGTTTCTCCCTGAGCCTGGAGCTCATTGATTTGGCTAGAATGGGTAACCTGAGAGCTCCAGGGAGCCTTCTGTCTCTGTCCCTTCTATCCCAGGGTTACAGATGCAAGCTTCCATACTCAAAATTTAATGTGGGTGCTGGGAGTCTGAACTCAGGTCTTCATAGATGTAGAGCAAGCATTTTACATGTTGGGCCATCTCCCCAACCCTGGCCTTAGATTTCTTTTTTGAAAGTTCAGGCAATTTTAATCATTAGAATGAATCACTGATTTCCTCCAAGGCCCTTGCAGGGGACAATAGCATGTTATTTTGCTTCTGGGTTTTCATGGTTGGTGGTGTTTTTTTTTTTTTTTTGAGAGGCGATCCTACTATGTAGTCTGGGCATCTTTGAACTCATTATCTTTCTGTCTCAACTTCTCAATGCTGGAATGACAAGTGTGTCCCACCATGTCTAGCATAAGTGAGCTTAGTTGAGGAAATGCTCATGTCTTGGGGCTGGATCATCATCCTTTGTCAGTTGAACCTGTCATTCCACAGAAGCCCATTGTTTTAGAGTCTACTTGCTTAGAACCTTTAGAGAAAAATCTAGCCCATTCCATCATACCTTCTTGGCCACTTGAGAGCAGCTGTCACATTATCATGTCATAACAACTCCAGTCCCTGGCCTCTTACTTCTCCAGACAGGATGATGTGTGGTTCTCCATCCTTTTTTTTCATGGAACCCAGGTTGAAATCTCACTATCTACCAGATGAGAGTTTAGGGCAAGCCCTAGCTCTCCATCTCCTTAATCAATAATAGCTGAGGCCAAAGATTCAGGAATAAGGATGTTCACTGCATTGCCAATTATAACTATGAAATATGTAACCACTTCAAGCTTCAGTGCTGAGAAATTTGCTGAACAGATCACACCATGTCCATAGGAACAAAAGACATCAGAATGACTATGGCAACAAATGCTAACTGACCTAAAAAGAGGATGAGGAAAGAATGTTAGATGTCTAGAGCAGGAGCAAGTTAAAAGGCAAGTCTTCGTTTACATATGGGAGAAAATCTGAAAGTGTTAAGAAGGGTAAAAGTGTTTATCTTAGAGTCATCAGGACATGGGGGCTTTTCTTGTTCTAAATTTTCTATTGGGGGAGGAAGTATAACTTAGTGGTTATGAAAATGGACTTCATAATCAAACTGGCCTGGCTTCCATCTGTCTTTTGCCACTTGAGAGCGTTGTCACCTGGGTTTCATTATTTGTAAAACAAGATCTTTTTGGATAGAGCTAGCTACTTTAGTCTTCTTGGAAGAGTGATGATTGGCTTTGTTTGGGGGCGGGGGGGGTGCTAGCTGTGTGCTTGGTACTCCTCTGAGCAGTTCATATACATCTTTTCTATCATTGTCTAGATTCTACAAGTCAAGAAATGGAGAGGCAAAGATATTCCTCTGCCCCTCCTCAAAGGGGCCGATACCCGTTCCCATTGTTGATGCACTAGTTCATTCATGGTGACCAACAGTGAGTTTGTTCTTTTGTGTCACCCACTTCTCCCTGCTGACTCATTCTGGGCCCACTTTGACTAAAACCCCAAGCATTTTCATACTAACACGTGTCTTCTAACCTCTAGTTGTTTTTTTTATCTTATGCTTGCTATTTCTTTTCTTTTTATTTCCAACTTGAGTGGACTAATTATTGAGATAGCAGGTGGATGAGGAACCTGAGCATTCAAATCATACCATTGATTATGAGGAAGTACAAGAATAAGCCTCATGACATGGCAGTGAGGAGCTGCCAGTCACACCTATTTCCCACCGCAGAGGCACAGGCGTGGACCTTTGGCATTTGTCTTCAGCTGCTCATCCGGAAAGAGCCACTGGTCCTAATGAGGGAGTAGGTAAGCAGAGAGGCCAGTCCAGTCCAGTGAGAATGCCCATCATCCTGGGATCCTAGGAGAAGCTAGAAAACAGGACAGCAGTCCATGGACAACAAGTAGAGAACAGATACAAGAAGAGCAATAGCTGGGAAGCTGGAAGATCTGGGTTCTCATCTCTGCTCTTTCACCAGTATCCTAATACATTCTTGGAGCTTTATTTTCTTTTCCTCCCTCCCTCTCTCTCTCACTTCCTTCTTTCTCTTTCCTTCTTTCTTTATTTGTATGATTGCTTGTGTGTAGGTATTGCACACTTGCCATGGTGTACATGTAGAAGTCAGAGGACAACCTCTAAGCAAGTTCTTTCTGTTGTTTGCCTTTGGACTGAGTCTGCCAGCCTTGCT